AGCCTTTACACCTGATTGATTTTTTTCACTGACATTTGTTTGAGTCACTGTTTTTTTATACTCTTTATAGCTGATCATTGTTGTAGCTCGGCACATTTTCGTTATTCATTAAAGGAGAACTATGAGATGAGTGATTTCCACTCACCTCATAGTTCTAGCCGACCTGTGACAATGAGACTGTCACAGGTCGGCTTAGTAGATCGGGAGGTGAGCGAACACATAACGGGGTTCGCTCACCTCTCGATCCTGTCACGGCTCTCTGCCGTGACAGGGGGAGGGGCTGGATTCCCCTCTCCCCGCTCCGATCTGCCAGCGCTGACTGGCGGAACGGACGGGGGAGGGGGCGGGTACAGCTGGCTCTGCCTCTAGATAGGCAGAGCCAGCTGTCACTCACGCAGCTGGGCGGATCCCGTCATCTACGTCGGGATCCGCTCCGTCTGCCGCGTCTCAGTATACCGCGAGCCGTAGCTCGCGGTATACTGAGCTTAGGGTAATGGGAGGACACTAGTTTGTGTCCTCCCGTTACCCTAAGGAGACCCTTTAAGTCCTGTAGGGGTAAGGGTATCGAGTTGGTAGATCCAATACGTTTTTTGTTTACATAACCCGCTGGAAACGTCCAGGAGGGGAATAGTGTTCTGGCATATGTTCTATAGCAAAAATCTGAAGGTTTTTGATTCTTTTACCGTGTTTGTGGGCAAAATGTCGTATGCTGTGATCGCAGTCACCATCTGCAATTAGGAAAAAAGAAAATAGCACTGCGCTTCACAAACTCAAAAAATATTCCTAAAATGTGAGAAAAATAGTATGAAATGTGAAATTGTCACAAAGTGATACATTTATTCTGACATACTACACTATGGGAAGCCTTTTTTCTCTCTCTGAGTACAAGAGAAGGTGGAAGATGGAGGAATAGTTTTATACGGTTTTGAAAAGATAAGCCAGAGTTGGGAGGAATCTACCCCAAATTATTGTCGGATTAAAAACAAAGGAGAGGATTTGGTTCTATATAGATCAGCAAAGCGCTAATTGTTCATCTGAAATCTGAAATATGGTGAGTAGGGATGCACTGATACTGATACTAGTATCGGTATCGGTGCCGATACCGAGTATTTGGGCGAGTACTTGTACTCGCCCAAATGATCCGATACCTAGCACGAGTACTTCCTGTATCGAGCACCCTGAGGCTTGATAAAGAGGCAACCCCTCAAAACGCGTAGCCACTGGAGACACCTGAGACCTTTGTACCCCTGTAACCATAGCCCGACTGCCATCACTGACACGCGGCGCACGGCGTTCCGCAGCCGCGTGTAGCTCCTCCCCCTTTTTTCTCCGTTCCTGACCGACGCTGCTCGGCCCGACCAGTCGAGTACGCGGGCGGCCATACGGAGGCACATCCATTCTGAACCAGCCTCTCATACCACCGGAGACATCCCTTCGAACCAAGGAGTCGGTCTCACAGACAACAGGGGAGCTCCTAACCGTAAGTCCCTTTTGCTTGCTGTGATATTGCCATTGACACTCACACTCCACACTCCTAGATCTATTAGTGCTCCTGACACTGTCCACATTTCATATATCCACTGGGCCCTTCGCCAGACTTAACTTACCTACACAATCTTTGGTAGTTGCGCTCCTGATTTGTTGCTCCTGTATCAGGAAGCCGGGCAGCGAATCATTACACTTGTGATGAGAGAGCATGGAGCCGACGTCATGCTCCCTCGTCATCTCATGAATCATAATATTAAGAAAGTGACCTTAAAGCATTAGTTTGTATTGCTTTAGAAAAAATGTGACCTGTCCCTCTAAGAAAAAGTATCGGTAATTGGTATCTGCGAGTACTTGATCAAAAGTATCGGTACTCGGTCTTAAAGTGGTATCGGTGCATCCCTATCAAGAAGTAATGGACTTCACATGTGGTTATGTAGATTAAGTGGGAGTTGTACATCACTTGTGAGATTTAACATAGGATTTTCTATATGTACACATTCTATGAGATGTATTAGCACATGTTTTTTTTCTTTTCTTCTATGTTTATTATGGTTTATAGTATCTAGACCATTAGACCTAGAGTTTTTTCTTACTATCATCAGCACAGGTGTTGTGTATGACACAAAATTGTTTAAACCGCTTAAAATGCACTTACAATTAAAATAAGGCAATTGCACATGGATTGTGTCCACTGGAGCTCCTGTCTCTAGGATCGTAATGCGTGGATAGATCCGCCCACCACATTTCATACTATTTTGCTCACATTTTAGGAATATTTTTTGAGTTTGTGAAGCGCAGTGCTATTTTCTTTCTTTCTTTTTTTCCTATTTTGGGTGTACTCACCTATTAAGCACAGCTGCTCTAAGAGTGTTATTTGATTTCTAGCGCAGTTTCTTTTTCTATCTAACACCATCTGCAATTAGTCGTCTGTGTTCCCCTATTCGCTGTCTCAATGGGAGGATGCTCCTGCCAACATATAACAAATTACATGGACACTTGAGACCATAAACCACGTGGTCATGTGAACAGGTGATTGTTTTATTGGATATCTGATGTTCTGATGATCTGTGAATTCAGATTGACCATGGATGATGAATTGACAAGTGAGACATCGGGGATTCCTACATTGATAAATGCCAACTCTGTTGTCGAATCTCGGGTGTAGTTTACTCTTATCACTGAATTTATGGATTTTAGTGGGCGCTATTTTTTTTTCTTTTAAATTTCCAGCTTTACTAAAAGTGACTGATTGTCTGAGTGAGAGTGAAGGGCCTAGCTTGGGATCTTGTTGCAAGATGTGCCAGTTTTTCTGAATGCTGCACTGTATTACGTTGTGGTTCTTGTTGTCAGGATTGGGACGTGTCGTTGATTTGGGCGAGTGTGGGTTCAGATATGTGGAATAGGCGTCATGAATGAGTTTGTCGGGGTATGATTTTTCTCTGAACTTGTTGGTAAGGAGTTGGCTCTATGTGGGGTTATCTGTGGCTTTTAAACAATTCCTCCTCAACCTACAAAATTGGGTTTTTGGAATGTTCTGTATCCATCTTGGATGATGGCAGCTTTGGAAATGCACATGTGAATGGCCGCCTGTAGGTTTCACATGGTTATTTGAGATTATGGTGTTACCGTCAGATGAAAGCTCAAGGTCTAGAAATACCAATATGTGTGGATCAAACACATGAGTGATTGAGAGGCCTAGCACATTGTTAGTGCAGTGAGAAACTAAATTCAATATGGAGTCAGTGGGACCATCCCAAATGATTACAATATTCTCAATGTAACGACCATAGAAGATAAGATATTTAGCGAAGGGATTGTTTTTCCATATGCTGTGTTCCTCCCAGAAAATGGTATTCCCATTTATTTTAATTATTTAACCTCCAGTCCTATCCATTAGTGTATCCCACACAATCCATTACTTCTGATTAGTCCCCCAGATCTATGTTTTATTAGGGCTTAGCCCTAGGGATTAATTTAAAGCATGTCCAATACACATCCCGCCTCAGCTGTTAATTGTCCATAGCTCCGCCCACCTGTCACTTTTAAATTCCACACATTCTCCCGCCATCCAATATGCATACCCATTGCATGTTTTGAACTTGAGAAAGAGGTCCGCCTCAAAGCGTGTTGCTCCTCCATCCCTCCACTCTCACGATCACATTTCTCGGACGCCTGGCACCCTGACAGAACACTCCAACAGATCGCTGTCGAACCAGCAGGACTCTGCCCACCCTCACAGGGTCCACACAGAATAGGCGACCTGACAGTGTACCAAACGGCTCCTTTGTCACCAGCAGCTGCTCAGCTATAACCCAGTGCTGCTACTGCACCACACTATCCACCGCTCAGCCCGGACCCAGTATTGACACTGTATCATCCACCGCACTTAGTCCCCGCCACGATCTATCTGATCACTGACACACCAGGGACACTCACAATACGGAGCACTTGCGGCTCCTCTCTTCACATCACCAGCCCTCCTTCGTTACCATACCTCGGGGGCTCGATCCCCTGTGCGCTCCACACAACATCAATTACAGATACCAAGGCCGTTAGATACGGCACTTCATTGATAGCTTATAAAGCAGCAACATAGCCCGCACTGGACACCACTATCCTCCGTCAAGGCCACCCAATGCTCAGTCCCCACAAGCATCATGTACGTAGTCCTTTTTCTCATTACATAGAGACAGCGAGTCTCTTTAATATATACAACTCCATATCCAATCATTCAGGTGATTGCGCTCTTGTTGTTTTATTTATTTGGGATAAAGAGTTAATATACTATAAATTGCTAAGTGTGTATACACCCTTGCAGACTCTGCTTCATGTGAGGGCTACAGTAACCGGTGTCCATCCGGTGTGGTCATCCATGGGAAAGTTAGATTGTTGAGAGTTCCACTCCTGGTCTGGTCTATTAGGGACTGTACTTTGGATGCCAAGTGTACCATTAAGTGTCTGTAAGTGTACAAGGGAACTATGTGAAACATTGTATGAACTGTGCAGGTTGTTTTGAGGGGTGCGATTAACGTATGTGCTGCACAACACACCTCACGTGCGATTACAGTGCGGGAGGTACATAGCCATTCATTTGCCCCAAATGTACCTCCTGCCCACAGTGTGATTGGCAGCTCCGCAATGCCATGTACCCCAAATATAGTGTGTTGCAGTGAGATTGAAAAAATCATGCATGGACTATTTTTTTCAATCACAATGCATGTTATTTGCAGTAACGTGTTGCAGAGTAGCCAATCACAATGCAGGCAGGAGGTACATTTGTGGTGCCAGTCATATGAGTGGCATGCAACGCACCTCCCGCCCTGTAATCGCACAGGAGGACTGTTGTGCAGTACGTGCGTTAATCACACAGAATCGTGAGATTTTCTGAACCGTCCCTGATTGTATACTAAAAGCAAAATCAAAATGTTGAAAACTACAAAATGAAAGTTTGGAAGAAAACATGTTTCCAAGGTCTGCTTTACCCTAAGTCAATTATTTTTATTTCTTCCCAGAAATTCAGATGAAGCACAAACAACATCTAATGGAGAAGACTGAGACTCTATTGGAGCATAGACCTCCAGGAACTACCCTGGAACCACAAAGATTCCTCATCAATGAGCGTTATGTGAACTTGGTTGTAGTCTCCACAGATCAGTTCAGGAAACGTCCCCAGAATGAGATAATACAGACCGGGGTGAGACATGAGGAATGCTTGAAGAAAACACAATCTGGACTGGAACACATTTCCCCCAACAGGCTGTTCCACTGGAGCCACCAGTCACAATGTGCACCACATGCAGTAATGGTGAGCGGAGTACCAGGAATAGGGAAGACCACACTGATACAGAAGTTTGTCTATGACTGGGTGACCGGAAAACACTACCAGAGATTTGCTTTTGTCTTCTCCTTCAGATTCCGGGACCTTAATAGACTGGGGGAGGTCAGCTTGGAGGAGATGATTCTACAACAATACCCATATCTGAGGAGTCAGATTGGAGATATTTTACAACATCCAGAGAGACTTCTGTTTATATTTAATGGCTTAGATGAAAGTGTTCACCAAATGGATTTCAGATTAATTGAATTGTGCTCATATACAGATCGTAGAATACATTTTGGTGAGATTGTGGTCAGTTTGGTGAGGCAGAGGCTTCTAAAGGGTTGCTCTGTACTGATCACCAGCCGCCCAACCAGACTGGCGTCAGTTGATACTGGTGTCTTCCAGAGAATAGTGGACATCATGGGATTTCTCCATGGAGACAGACTGATCTTCTTTAATAATTTCTTTCGAAATGAGGAATTGTCAGGAAAGGCTTTTCATTATCTGCAGGAGAATGACACGCTGTACACTTTCTGTTACATCCCATCATACTGCTGGATCATCTGTACAGTGTTATCAATGTGCTTCAGAGCCCAACCAACAATCACTGATCAGATGATGACATCATTGCCCAAAACAGTGACACAACTCTTTGTGACTTTTGTCTCCAACATTCTGGCCAATCACAACCAGAGTAAAGATGATGTTCACACTGCCCGGGAACTGCTGACATTTATTGGGTGGATGGCAGAACACGGAGTCATGAATCACATGATTGTATTTGATGAGCGTCATCTGGACTCATTCAGTGTGAGAAATGATAAACATCTCTTTTCATGTTTCATGATGGAATCTGGTCAGCCTCCTGATGTGGATTACACCTTCTTACATCTCACTCTTCAGGAGTTTTTTGCTGCTTTAGTCCATTTCATGAACTATAATTCTGACAGATTACAGAAAACACTTGATGATGCTGAATCTTACAATGACGGCCGTGCTGAAATCTTTCTCCGTTTCCTCTGCGGTCTCTCCGACTCTTCTACTAGATCCATGTTAAAGTCTCATGTGGGAGAATTGTCTCCTCAGGCTGCCAGACATGTCATCACCTGGATCCAGAAGAAAATGGGGAAAGAACGAGGAGACAAGAGAGATCTTCTTAATGTCTTCTATTATCTCCATGAGAGCAGGAATAAGGCTCTGGTGTCACAATGTGTTGGATCAAACAAAGTTGACTTTTCTGGTGTCTCCCTCGGCCCTCTGGACTGCTCTGTGCTGTCTTTTATCCTTCAATCCTGCAGAGAGACGGAAGAAATAGATCTAAGTTCATGTAAAATTCCGAGTGAAGGATTGAGGAAACTTGTACCTGCTCTTCACAACATCAAGAGTTTGAGGTAAAGAATAACTATGAATAGTCACATTTCTGTGTTAAACTGGAATGATCAGCAATCTCCCAGAGAAATGACTAATTATTGGTGTTACTTGTCTTCTATTATATGAGAACTTTATATGTATTGATGTGATCACATTGGATGACTGCACAGAATGAACAGTAGAGGCAGCAGAATGGGATCTCTGGGATGTCTGTCAGACACGTAGCAGTGATAGTATTGGTCCAGTGTCTGTGGGGTCTCTGACCTTACAGAGCTACAAGAGCCTAGCACGGCCTATATCTTCCCTCTTATGTGTGACCCCCCAGAGGAAATTCTCCTTCCATTTATTGATGAGGTCACTGAATGATCAGATAAGAAGAGGAGTTCATGTACATATTTGTTTTTATTAGAATTACAGAATAAATACAGATATAACATTAGCGATAACTGTGATTTACATTCAGGTCCTTCAGTTGTTGCTGTCCCTGCAGGCGGCACAAATAATGAAATGGACTCTATACTTTATATGTACAGGTCAGTGAGTTTCCCTCAGTGTGACCTCCAGGCTTGTGCTGACATCCTGCTCTCATACAGTAGAAGAATATATTCCTGGACTCCATTAGATGGTACTCTGAGGAGGTTGGAGTGAGGTTCAGCTTTTGCCTTGAGACTTGTTCACACCAAGTGCGAAACAGATGCAGAGCAGTTACAGAACGCATCAAAACTGCATCCCATGTATTACAATGGTATTTTGAACTCTAGTTCACACCAGAGTGTTCAGTTCCAGTGCATGTGGAAAAACTGCAGCATGCCCTATTTTTTTCTTCTCTGGAACACACTAAAATGCATGTAAATGCATGCAAACACCCTGGAACGCACTGAAAGCCCATTTTAGGCTAAAGAATTTACCAAAAACTACCCAGAACGCGTCAAAAACATGGCAAAACACAGTATTGGGGTCAATGAGGAATATGCAAATAAAGCAGAACATCAGTCTTGCACAGTTGTACCGGCTTCTCTCTTGTTTTGCAATTGTTTATTATGATTTCACTGCACAAATAATTTAAATATTTGTATAACTCTTCCAAAGAGCCTCTCACTGCTTGGATCGGGATTGAGGCTCTTGCAATAAATAGTATACACTTACAAGTTATTGTAATAAAAACTCAGCCAATCCAACATTGTCAGGAGTGCCAATGGTTTGGCAGAAGAACAAACTGGAACTCACTGGCAGGAAATGGCCTGAAGCGTCCGAAGGCAGAGGTACAAAAGGGTTAATCCAAAGAGAAGTCAAGTCCAATCCGAGTCGAGGCAGGCAGCAAAGGTTCAGGGGCGAAAGGCAGTCCAAGGTCGGCAAAAGGGGGTCAGGAAACAAAGCAAGGCACATGTACAGGGAACTAGGAAACCACACCACAGGATGAGATAACTCAGCAACAAGCCAGAGCTCTGGCCAGGTTTTTATAGCCAGGGGGTGTAAGTCCGCCCCCCTGTCACTGAGGCAACTAGGAGGCTTCTCTTCACAAGAGCCAATGGCAGGCGAGAGGTGGTATGGGTGTGTACAGGAACCTCCCCCAGCTAGGTCCACACCTGAGGCCTAAACAGGTGCAGGCACACTATGCACGTGCTCCTGGGGATGCGCGCGCAGCCTGCGTACTGCGCATGCGCACCTGCCACACGACTCGCGCATGCGCACCTGCAACCCGGGCACCAGTGGTTCTGCCAGGCTGGAGGGAGACCCGTACCCTGCGCTGTGCCCGCTGACCCTGTGGGGAGGTGACACCCCTGGTTTCCTGACAAACATCTGAATCGGCAGAGCCAAAGCTCACTCGCTGCCATTTGCCACAGTGAGTGAATTGCCGAATTCTGCCTCCATGGTACCGAGCAGAATAGCAAATAGTGAAAAAAGTTGGGAAAAAAAGTAGAAAAAAATTGTTTAAAAGTGTAAATAAAAAATAAAGATTTAAAAATAAACAATTGGGTGGAGCTAGCAGTGACGGCTAGCTCCCCCCGAATGGTTCCTATTGGCTGGCACCTGCTAGTCTTCTACCAAGTCCTGGCCAATGAATAACAACTGGGCGGAGTTATTGTTGAATGACAGATCAGCGTCCCCAGGTCATTTGAGGACGCAGATCTGTCATGACAACTGGGCGTGAGATCATGGCTGGCTCCACCCAGCTGTCATTTGCAAGCCGTTTCCCCCGCTTCGGCTCAGAGCCGAAGCATATACCTGCGGTTCGGCTAAGCCGCTCGGCCGCCTTCGGGCGCTTTAGTGAATAGCCCGTACAGCAGCCCTTCGGTACGACTGAACCGAAAGGCTCCCGCATCCAAAGCTAGCCGAAGGATCAGTCAAAGCTTTGGCTGATCCTTCAGCTAGCTTTGTGAATAACCCTCTTAATGTGCTTTTAACAGCTCCTAAAGGTTATTCTTCAAGTACTGTAAGATTTTGGGGGTTTTTTGTGTTGTTTTTTTATTTAACATATCGCAATAAACACACACAGATAAGAGACGTCAGCCATTTTTTTCATGGGAATATGAATTGTTTAATACTATAAATTTACAATAATCTGCTTATTCCTGCACATCCGCTCTTCTGTGTCACTGATCTCCACAAGACCAAAAAAATGCAATCACAACTAGAAACAATTCCTCAGGGACACCATACGTACTGTACTGACACACCATAAACTACCGCATAGACACAATTACCAGACTGACACAACCAGAAATGTCTGCTGAGACAGTCGGCAACATACTGAAACAGGCAGAAACATGAACACCATACTGACACAAACATTCACAGACTCTTACATAGATGTGTTACTGGGCTTAGAATATTTATCAGCAGCATATGTACAGAGCAGAGGTCCGCTGTATGTAACATATAAAACATCATACATTGTACAGCAGTCTATAGTATAATATGCCAGGGGTGTGGAAATTTTTTTAAAAAACGACTTGTCCAAGGGCTAAAGCTGGGGTGAATCTACTTGTCCCTCATCACAATCTACTTGTCCCAAAACAAAAAAATAGTTTTAATCAAAACTAGGGATGCACCAATACCGATTTTTCGGTATCAAGTACGACAGATCTACCAGTAGCTCTACCAGTGATCTACCAGTAGCTCTCAAAGCTGATGCTGGTAGATCACGAAGGGTGTGAATGGCGGCCCCTTTATTCCATTTTGGTATATTTATTTAGCTGTGCACACATGATTTCCTATTAGCCTGAGTCTGCTGAGCCAAGCTCCCTGACACCTTTCTGGTGGATTCTGGTGGTTGAAGTGCTATGCATTACATCAAAGAATATTAGTTTACACAGCCTATTGCAAAATACAGCAAGGTGAGCCAGGAGAGAGAGCGGGGAGAGACAGCCAGGAAAGAGAGGAGAGACAGCCAGGGGAGAGAGCAAGGAGAGACAGCCAAGAGAGCGAAGAGAGACAGCCAGGACGATGAGCAAGGAGAGACAGCCAGGAGAGAGAGAGAGAGCGAGGGAGGGTTTTTTTTCATTGGTAGATCTCATGTAGCTCGTCATTTGAAAAGTAGATCTTAACACAAAAAATTGTGGGTACCCCTGAAGTACGAGTACCGATATTTTGCTTTTGATACTCGTTGATACTGATTACCAATACTGGTGCTTCCGCTGGCATGGAGTAGGCTTCCCTGGTAATCGGGCAGTGGGTAATGACATGCCGCCCGGCTTCCGGATTGCCAGGGAAGCCAGCTCCATGTAGCTTGGCCAGCTTAATTGTGATTGGCCAGGAAATAGTCTTCCCATCCAATCAGCATCAAGCCGGCTTCCCGGCCAATCAGGAAGCCGGGCGGCGACTAATGACCCGATTGACCGGGAAGCCGGCTCGATGCTAATGGCCCGTAAAGCCGGCTTTCCAGCTAATCAGCAAGGAGTCGGCTTTCCAGCCAATCAGCAAGGAGCCGGCTTCAGGAAGCCAGGAGGCAGGTCACTACTTGCCGCACGGCTTCCTGATTGCCCAGGAAGCTGGCTCCATGTTCCCCTACGGCATTGCCGGTCAGAGAAAATTTTCCTCTGGCTGTAAGTTGCAGTATCGGGGAAGGTATCAGATTTGGGAGAGACGCGGCCAGATTTGATCGGGTAATTCCATTTTCCCATATTACCTGGGAAAGTGAACTTACCTTTAATGCACATTGTGTGTGTGTAAGAGAGTTCTGTTGCCTGGCTACCACAATGGACTGGTGGCAGCACTCAACGCACACGCACAAAGTTCTACGGCAGGGGGCAGCAGGGTTGGTTTAAATTTTTTTTTTAGTTTTATTTTTCACTATCACTTTTTATTTTTAAAAATGTTACATGTACATCATTTTATCTTTTATTTTTATTTATTTTTAACCCCCCCCCCCCCCCCTTAAAGACGAAGAACGGACGTTCTTTGTCTGCTCTACACTCTATGGCTGAGCCATTCTTCTATGGTCTCGGGTCCCCCAGAAAAGCGGGGGACCCTTCAAAACCGCGGCAGGGCTGACACAATCGCCGCTGCTTGTTTGATAGAAGTGATCTGTTCAGATCACTTTTACTAAATGAGCGACGGCTCCCCACTGTACATTTAGCTCTGTTTGTCTGAAGCAGGGCTAAATGTACAAAAAAACTACTCGCCGGAAACTGCATGTCCCGGGCGTCGGGATAGGAATTCCACATTCCTGTATGCTCAGAACGATGTGAAGTGGTGCAATGATGTCATGTGCAGCATGGTGTACAGAACTTAGTGTCCATGGGTGCAAATATTTCCTAATGTCAGTCATCAGTAGGCACTGCAGAGGGCTGGGGGACACAGTGGAGGGCTGGGGGTGGCACTGCATGAAACTTTGGGTAATTTGGAGGGCTAAGGGCACTGTGGATTGCTGGGGCACTGGAGAGGGCTGGGTAGAACTTCAGGAAGCCGGGGCCACTGTGGGGCTGGAAGGCACCGCAGTAAGCAGGGGGCACTGTAGGGCTGGGAGCACTGTGTGAACCTTGGGGACTGTGGGAAGCATACAGCAATTTGGTAGGCTGGAG